CAGGTATATGAACAGAGACTAAAGGCTGATGTTGGGTATCTTCCTGTAATGCTCTCCACTTTATTTTCTTTAATATTTCTGAGATTTGAGACAAGGTTCCTCTGTACCCTCAAGTGGCCTGGAACTTATGTAGACCAGGCTGGCCTCAATTTCAGAGATCCTCCTGTCTCTGCCTCCTGAGTGCCAGGACTAAAGGGGTGTACCACCACAATCAGAACCACATCATTTTTTGAGATGGGATTTCTTATTGAAACTGGCGCTCACTGATTGGCTAGACTGACTGACCAGCAAGCTCAGGATCCTCCTGTCTCTGCTCACCTAGCACTGGGCTGCACCCATTTTTTATTTGGGTACTAGGGATCTGAACTAAGGCCCTCATTTGCAGCAGGACTTTTAGCTGCTGAGTTATTTCCCCAGGCCTAAATTCTATATATTATTAACAAGCAAAAATCAATTCAGGGCTGTTGAGATGGCTTAGTGGTAAAGGTACATGTTGATGCCTATCAACCTGAGTTTGATCCCTGGAACTCATATGGTAAAAGGAGAGATTCTCCAAATATGTACTGTGGCATGTACACACCTACATACATACATAAATGTATTAAAACATTTTTAGTTGTTTCTTGAGACAGGGTCTCCCTATAGCCTGTTAGCTTGGAACTTGCTATGTACACCATGCTGGCCTCAAACTCACAGAGATCCACCTGCCTCTGCCTTCTGAGTGCTGGGATTAAAAGTGTGCCACCATGCCCAGCTTCAAAAATAAAAATTTGGAGATTATGTGTAGAACATCATTAATTTTGAGAAAAGAATTAAACACAATTAGCTTATTACACACATACTATATATTGACATACATACAACTCATGTTTATAGAGTACTTACTATGTACTAGTGTACCAGGCATGAAACCATAATAGTGTTTTTTAAAAAATATTTTAAAAATTTTATTTATTATATTTATGTGTATGTGCATATTGCCTGCACGTAGGTAAGTGCACCCATGTTGTGCAGTGCCCACGGAGGACAGAAGAGGCTGTCAGATCCCCTGGAACTGGAGTTACGGAGAGTTGTTAGCTGCCATGTGGGTGCTGGGATTTGAACCTGGGTCTTCTGCAGGATCAATGTTCTTAACTGCTGAGCCATCTCTCCAGCCCCCATAATAGTGATTTAAAGCCAGGTGTGGTGGCACATGCCTTTAATCCCAGTACTAGGGAGACAGAGGCAGGCAGATCTCTGAGTTCAAGGTCAGCCTGGTCTACATAGTGAGTTCCAGGCCAGCTGGGGCTACAGGAAGACCCTGTCTAAATAAGACCAAAAAAAAAAAAGTGATTCAAAAATAGTTGCTGCCTTCTGCAAACAGGGTCTCAAATTAGATAAAAGCCAAATAATCTTAAAGAAAGTGGAGAAGCCACAAAAGCCTTGAGGGTATGTACCCAAGATGGGGAAACTTTGGGCAAGGCTCCAAGGAGGTAATCTGTTCTTAGTATACCCTGAATGCCATTTTCTCCACAGCAAAATGCTTTAGTGCAATAATGCCTCAACTACTCCAAAATGAAAAATAAAGCTTTTTGTTTGTTTTAAGACAGGGTACCACTATGTAACCCTAGCTGGCCTCCAGCTCACAGAGATGGGCCTGCCATTGCCTTCAGGAGTGCTGAGATTAAAGGAATACACAATCACACCTGGTTAAAATAAAAAAAGTTTAAAGAACTCACTCCTAATGTCCAAGAACACGTGTCAATTTTACTGTATGTGTTGCTTTAAGATTATGAAAAATTCTGCCAGATGCAGGAGGGTAATACCTGTACAATTAGTTATCTGCAAGACTGGGAAAGGAGGGTTTGTTTAAATCTAGGAGTTCTGGGCTGGACCATGGAACACAGTGAGACCTGGTCTTTTTTTCTTTTTTTTTGAAGTAGTAATTCCATTTGAATAAACAAAAGATCTGAGGAAGTTTCCTGTATTCTTACTTCTGAAAATTTATTCCAAATAACCATGGCTGTGAAAGAAGACTAAGATGCCTAGAAATTTTAGCTAATGATATTAGTTCTTAGGCATAGTATTTTGCAAAACATGTATGGACCTATTCACTGGCACAATAGAAAAAAATACTATAGAAAAAAAAATGGAGAGATCTTATAAACTATGGCACATCAGGCTGAGAGTGTAGCTCAGTGATAGAGCACTTGCCTATCACGCCCAAGGCCCTGCAGTCAATCTCCAGCACAACCAAAAAATTAAATGACACATCTAACTTATATAGCCCTGAAATGTGCTTCATGGACAAATGACTTCTGAGGTCCCTACGCCTTTCATAAGAAAAAACAAACAGGTAGCAAAATGAGCATAACTGTATTCCTAAAAACAAAAATTTTCCATGTTTTATTTGTATTGTATGTATATAAATGTTTTGTCTGCATGTATGTAAGTTCACCCGTGCATGCGATGCTGTGGAAGCCAGAAGGGGCTGTTGGAATCCTTCCAACTGGAGTTAGGGACAGCTGTTAACTGCCATGTGGGTGCTGTGAACTGAACCCAGGTTCTCTACCTCCAACTCACAGAGATCCACCTGCCTTTGTCTCCGGAGTGCTGGGATTAAAGGCATGAGCCACCATACCTGGCTAACAAAATCATTTTTAAAAAGTCCTCTGTATACTATGCAAGTACAGAATTAACTTCTGATGGAGGAAATGTAACATTTTTATTTTCTTTCTTTTTCTTTTTTTGAGTAATTTCCAAATGCACACTGACATGAGTTGTGTATTTGGACTAGATAATATGTTTACATTTGGGTAGTGGAATTATGGCTGATTACCACTAAGAAGGTTCAGTAGTATTATATCATTTTATAATTTTCTTTAAAAAAATTACTCCTAAATAATCACAGGTAAGATTTTTTTCTAAAGAGACTTTTAAATGAGGGGGGATTCATCATGAAAATATTCAATTTTGGGGGGCTGGAGAGATGGCTCAGCAGTTAAGAGCACACTGACTGCTCTTGCAGAGGACCCGGGTTTGATTCCCAGCACCCTCATGGCAGCTACGAACTGTCCTTAACTCCAGTTCCAGGGGAATCCGAAGCCCTCTTCTGACCTCCACAGCACTGCGCGACATGGGTGCACTCACATGCAGGCAATACACTCATACACTTAAAAAAATAAAATATTAAAAAAAGAAAATATTCAATTTCTGGTTAAAATGGTTAAGTGTTTAAAAGTCCAGAAATGAAAGCTGGGAAAGATCAGTTCAAGGTCATCCTTGGTTACAAGATCATGGCCATGACAAGTTCCAGGCCAAAAAACCGAAGTCCATGAACGGGTGCATGTAAATATGGCTGGCCTTACTTGTGCAATTCATTCTAGTTCATTCATCAGGAAACTAATTAAACAGACTCATGTGAACCCTTGATCAAACAAAACATCTTTCAACAACCACTCTTACATGTATTTACTTATGATCTACCGAAAACTTTTCTAGTTACTAGCCCCCATTCCCTAGATTTCAACAGGCTTTTAGGACTCACCTCTGCAATACACTGGGAAACCTGTCACTGAGATGTCTGTTTTCTTCAGCACATCTAGAAAAACGAACAAAACCCTCAATAAATCAATCATGCTAGTTCCCAGTCTTAAGCATTATGAAAACCAGCATTAAGATTTAGAACAGATATGATTAGGTCATTTAGTACAATGACCAAAATATATTTCAAAATCTTAACATAATTTTATTCAAGATAAATTATGAATAAAAAATTAACTTGGCTTAAGATGTGGCTAAAGACATTTCACGTCTTAATCTACTTTTTACGTTGCCAACTGATAATCTAATTGTTAAATTTTTGTCTCCTTTAACAAGATGCTGCTAGAACAAGTCGTGCCCCCGCCCCCCGTCTCCCCAGGGGGTCTAAGAGAATTTACGTCCTTGCAGACCAATGCTACCTTCCTGGAGAAACGCCTCCTGCAGTGTCAGGAGGAGCCTTCTAAGGTCACAGTAGCAGCGTCAGTCCTAGCAGGTCCATCTCTCAGCATTCCGACAGCCAAATCTTGCTCATTTCCCCCTAGTTCCGTAGTTCTTAGAAACACCTTTTTCCCGACGCGGGTCGTATCGAGAAGCCCCACCTTCCCCGTCTTGAAGGATGCTGCGACCGCGGGGCCACTGGAGTGATGAGCGTGTCAGTCTCCGCACTTCAAAGGGAGGAAAGGCTGCTCCGAGAGGACCAGGGTCCGCTCCCTCGGAATCCACAGAGAGACGCAGAGGACGAGCTCAGAGAGCCGCACGTGCCGGGCCCGTTCACTCCGGACCCCGCCGGAGACGCCGCGCCCCTGCCTCCAGCCCCACGCCCCGCTCCGCTGCGGGACCAGCCTCTCCCATGGCCGCCTTCGCTTCCGGTGCTCCCAGAGCTGCGCCACCCCCGAGTCACCCGGGCAACCGGTGCCTTCGCCGGACCTCCCGGACAGCTCTGCGACTCCTCCAGACTTCCCCAGGCATTGTCCTGGCGCAAACGGCGTACGGGCGCCGCAATGACTTAAACCTACCGGATAGACTCCGGTTCCTTCCCTCTAAATAGGGAAATATGATAGAGCTGCGGCCACTGCTACCGGGACAAAATGGCGCCAGGGAAGCGGTTAGGCGCAGGCGCCTGGGGAAAGCCCAGGCTCCGCCCCCGTGCAAGCCCCTGGCTGCAGGGCTGGGTTCCGTTTCCATGGGACACACCGCCGTCCAATCCTCGGGCGGAACCGCTCTTCCTGACCCCTATGTTCTCCAATCAGTGCTCAGCCAAGCACATCCGGAGTCATCTCGACCAATCAGTTTTCAGGGTTCTCGTACTCAATCCCTGATTCTCCAATCGCGTTGGTCTCCGGAGACAGCCAATCAGAAGTGGAAGATGTCCTACCTGCTGTTTTCCGCACCAATCCGTGAAGTTTCACCGCTACATCCAATGAGAACGGCAGGTAGCGAGCTCCAATCCGAAGCTCTTCGGCGTCATGAGCAGCCAATAGGAGTTCGTGTAGAAGCGAGTCTGCTCAACAGCTTGTTATTTGGTGGATTGTGGCAGTAAATCGGGGCGAGTGGGGAACCCGGCGCAGGAACTACCATCGCAGCCGGGAGTGGTGCTGCCCGGACGGGGGCCCACGGCGGTCAGTGGGGCGGCCGGCTGGAGAGCTGACAGCGCGCACTTCTCCTGCAGTAGGTGGGTGGGCAGAGGGGCAGCGGGGGCCGCTGAATGGGCGCAGCGGCAGTAGCAGCTGGTGCTGCGATGGGGTCCCGGTGCAGTTGAACGCTCCGGAGGTGGGGAGGGGGCTGCTGGGCGCGCCGGGCGCCGGGCAGGGAGCCGGTTGGGAAGCCGCGGCGGCAACTGCGGCCAGCGCCGCCGCAGCCGCCTGCTCGGCCGCTTCCCGGGAAAATGGCTGTGGGCTGGCCGCGCCGCTAAGTTTGCTCGGGCGAGGAGCGGACAGCTGGGGCAGCCGGCTCCCAACTCCTCGCAGTGTCCTCGGCGCGCATCCGCGGCTGGACGGCTGGGCTTGGGGTCGGCGCCTCTTCGGGCTCTACAAAAAGTTGAGGCGGGCGCGAGAGGAGGCGGCGGCTGCGGCGGTGCGGCTGCCTCCCCTCCCACACCCTCCCCGCCCCGCACCTCCCCCGCCAGGATCCCCCGGTGCCCGCGCCTGCCGCTGCAGGCCGCCGCCCCTGCCCCTCGGGTGAACGATCTGCTCCTTCCTGACATGGTGCAGAGCGGAGGCAGGAGAGCAATGGCGCCGTGACACTCCGCTGCCGCCGGGGCGGGCCGTGGGGGCCGAACGGCGAAGGCGGGGCGCGGGCCGGAGTCGGGGGCTCGGCGGGGCGGGGACGCGGAGTCCGCACCCCGGCCAGCCCTTCTCCAGGGCGCTGGAGTGGGGCTCCGAGTTGAGCGGTGAATCCGGGTGCGAGCGGCCGGGGCGGCGGGCCGCTGGCCAGCGCAGGGCGAAACGGGCTGCTGGGCGGCGCACGGGGGTCTCCGCAGGCCGGCCGCCCGGGGGTCTGCTCCGGGCCGCGCTCGGCCCCTCCCCGCCCGCGTTTGTTTACTTTCTTTCCCCGCCCGGACTGATTGTCTGCCTGTCTTTCCCTCTGCTGTGGTTCTAGCGAAGGCGGAGAGAACTCGTGGAGCTGGAACCCCACAGATCTCCCGTGAAAATGAAGGTAAGTACGGGCAACTCCGCAGCAGTGAGCCCGGGACGCTGCGGGTCGCGAGCCGCTGTCGTGGAATGGCAGCTTTGTGCTACTCAAAATTGATCTCTCTACTAGGCAGCACTTTCGGGAAAATGACGTGTGAATGGGTGAGAAATATGTGTGTCTAAATGCAGTCTGCTCAGCCCTCTGGGTAGCAGTTAGCACTTTGGAAAGGCTGCTGCAGCCCTTCGGTTGTCCATTGGGCTAGTATTTTTAAACACTTCCTGTGTTGGCAGCACCCTTTTGAAGAAGTAAAGCTTTTGTCCTGGTTTGGTCCTTTGCAGGACTATTTTGTATTTGGAAAAAAAAAAAATGTACCCCTTCCCATTGTCAGTGCCATTTTCTAAGAGAAATGTGTAGATTGAGTAAAGGAGAGATTTCTAGCTGTTTCTTCTGGGAATAAACTTAGGTGGTTACAGTATTTTAGGGTGGACTGAAACGAATGCTTAGTTTTAGTTCAGTCTTTACAGTAAATTTCTTAAAGCAGACATTTAGACTATATGTATATAGGTTTTTGGATGTGTATACTTCCAAAGATGCTTCCTCTTACAAATGACAGTGTGTGTGTGTGTGTGTGTGTGTGTGTGTGTGTGTGTCTGTGTGTGTTTTATAAGGAAAGGAAGCTCTGATAACATGCCTCAGAATGCTTCGTAGGGCTGTGGACATTGACCGTTTCCTGTCAGATACTTATTTCTGAAAGTAAAGTACCTTGTCCATGTTGTGCTTGCTGTTGTAGTAGTACGTATGTGTATATGTAATACATATTTAAGATAAATGTATAGTTGTTGGTTTTGTTATTTGAAACAGAGTGTCCTGTAGCTCAGGCTGGCCTGGAACTTACTGTATAGCCAACACTGACCTTGAACTACAGATCCTCCTGCTTCCATTTCCCAAGTGCTGAGATTATAGACTTGTGCCACCACACCCAACTTTGTTTATTACTTTCTGAAATTCTCAGACTTTCTTTTAGTTTCTTATGCTCTTAAAGTGTCAGAACTTCCTTTAGTTTTACTTGGGAAAATGAAAACTTGTTTCCTACTTTAAAATATGTTGCTAAATTATGCATTGTCATCTTTGCACTTAGAATGTTGAATTGAATTGTGTGAATACATACAACTTGTGAAGAAATAGGTAAAATGACAGACTGAGCTAGCAGTCATCTGCCATTATCAAGATGAAATGAATTGTAGATCAAAGCTTTTCACATATTTCAACGTATTATTCTGATCACTGTCATTTTCTAAAAGTGAGCATTTCTTAGCATAATTTTTTCAAAAATATACTAAGAACATTAACGTTGTAGTCTTGATACAGCTACAGTGTTCAGCCTTCTGTTTATATTTCATTCATCAGTTCAGTTCAGTAGTAGTTTTCAGACACAACCTTTGGTCAATGAATTTCCCAAAGGAGTTGTCTTGGTTTGTCTTTATGGATACATTTTATCCAAAAATATACTGTCTTAGCCAGGCATGGTAGCCCTGGCCTGTAATCTAGCATTTAGGAGACAGAGGCAGCCTGCGCCTTGTCTCAAAAGCCCAAAGCAAACAAAAGAAGGTATTACCTTTATAAAGATGTAATTAAATCTAAACATTTAATTATATATTGTTAGTATTAAATTTAATAGGAACATTTTTAAAATTTGAAAATAATCACCTGGAGGTCAAAAGTCAATAAAATTTATGAAATATTTATTATAAATTTTCTGCTTTTTCTTACTTTTCCATTTCTTACATAGATTTTAGAATTTTTAAATAAGAGGTTGTATCTAAAAAAACAAAACCATTATTCTCTTACTGATAGTTTCCAATTACAACCTAAAAGCCTTTCATGGTATCAGGAAGTATCAAAAATGAAGTGTTGTTAAGGTTATGGTAGGGGTATTTCCAAATTATCAGTGATATTAAGCAAATAATTTTAATTTTCTAGTTACTTTTAATGTAGACCAGTTTAATGATGTTGGAGGTTGTGATAAGGGTAAAGAGCAGTGGCTGGCGTTCAGTGTTTCTGTCCTTTCCTCAGGCGGCAGATGAGCCTGCCTACCTGACAGTGGGAACTGATGTCAGTGCCAAGTACCGAGGGGCCTTCTGTGAGGCAAAGATTAAGACTGTGAAAAGGCTGGTGAAAGTTAAGGTAAAGTGCTTATATATTTTTTAATATAAAAGGTTATTTTGTTTGTTTTTAAAAAATAAATGGGTTTGTTTGGCACATTGCAAGTGACAGAGGGCTGGGCAGAGGGCCGGGCAGTGACAAGAGTCACTGTGGTAGTACAGCAGTTTTATTAAGTGTATGGAAGAGATTAATTAGAGTATTTGTTTAACTGGAGGGATAACTTGTAAATTATCAGTATTTTTATTGAATCATTGCTTTGTGTAAGCATCATTATCTATTTAACATACAGGGAAAATACATTAAGATCAAATAAAGAAAAGCTGAGACATTATCAAGAATACGTCCATGAAAATACCATGCTCATGATGCTTGTGTTACTTGAATCATTCCTGTTTGTGGTAGCAGAGTTGGGCTATAATTCCATCACTCCCCATTTGTAATCAGAGACAGTTTAATGATTAGGAAGAACAAGGAATTACATTTTCAAGATAACATTAAAACGATTCAAGTTTTGTGTGCGTGTGTGCGTGCGTGTGTGTGTGTGTGTGTGTGTGTGTGTGTGTGTGTGTTTGTGTGTGGTAGTTTTTGAGACACGGTCTCATTGTGTAGCCCTGGCTGCAAAGAACTTGCTATGTAGACCGGTTTGGCCCTAAACTTCTTGTGATCCTCTTGCCTTTGCCTCTGGAGTACTGGGATTGCAGGCCTGAGCCACTGTGCCTGGCCAAGATTTTATTTTTGTTTATACACTGTAGCTCACCCCAAAAGTTGATTTTTAAGACCAAAAAAAAGTTAATGCATTCTTTTATAGAACTTGGAAATATAGAAAAGTATAGGTGGATAAATACCCATAACATCTCAGAAATTATTTGGTTTTTTTTTTTTGTTTTCCTGTAGCAAGTTTTCCTGATCTATAGTTCTTTTTTTCCTGTTTTGAGATGGGGTTGTCATGTAACTCAGGATGACCTCAAACTCACTAAGTAGCTGAAAATGACCTTGAACTTCAATCTTCCTGTTTCTCCTTCCTCAGTGCTAGGATTAACAGGCATGAGCCCCCATATCTGGTTTTTATGGTGCTGGAGCCTCATGTACGCTAAGCAAGCACTGTACCACCTAAGCTGTAACCCTAGCCCCATCCTTATTTCTAAATAATTATTTTTACTTAGATAAAAATATATCCATGTGTGTATAAACACCTTTAACATTATAGCGCTATAAAATATAATAGCCAGCCAAATCTGGATGTTGTAGTCGTCCAGATTTTGAACTGTGCCTGTTTATATTGTTATTATTTAATCATGTACCCCCAGTTTGCCCTTTTAATTTCATGCCTGTTTTCTTGCCAAAGTTAAAAACATGAAAAATAGAAAGTATCTTTGAGTGTTCTATCCCTGATACTTAGAGTAATATCTGGTCTCTAGTGACCATTCAAAACTTGTTGAATATGTGAGTGACTGCATGAGTAAAGGAAGTAATCAACTAGAGCATTGATTCATTTTTTCTTTTCTTTTTTGGTCTTTTTGAGACAGGGTCTCCCTGTAGCCCCAACTGGCCTGGATCTCACAGAGATCCCCCTGCCTCTTCCTCCCAAGAGCTGGGTTAATTAAAGGCTTGCACCACATGTCTGGCTTAGAGCATTGATTTTTTTGTTTGTTTGTTTTTGTTTGTGTTCTTTTTGAGACAGGGTCTCCCTGTAGCCCCAGCTGTCCTGGAACTCACTATGTAGACCAGGCTGGCCTTGAACTCACTGAGATCCACCTGTTTCTGCCTTCCAAGTGCTGGGACTAAAGGTGTGTGCCACCATACCCAGCCAGAGCACTGATTTTTAAATCGTGGCTCCCAGACCAAGAACATGAGCCTGTCTTGGGAACTTGTTGAAAATGAAAATATGACTATATCCCAAAGTTTCTGAATGAAAGCCTCTGGGAGTAAGGTTCAGAAATTGTGCTTTAAACAAGCCTGCTGTTTCTGCTGCATCTTAAAGAGTTCTTAGGAGTATGATTCATGCAATAAACAGATGTAGCCATGATTATTATAAAATTTCAGTTTAAATTTTAATCTGACAGTGAGAGTTGATTACTGGGATGTCATTTGACAGTCATTATTCCTTCATTTCATATAGCCCTTTCGCCATATAACTCCCAAATATTTGAAATTCTTTGACAGTTTTAACCTTTTAAAAAAGTATCTTAGGGGCTGGAGAGATGGCTCAGCAGTTAAGAACACTGACTGTTCTTGCAGAAGACCCGGGTTTGAATCCCAGCACCCACATGGCAGCTAACAACTGTCTGTAACTCCAGTTCTAGGGGATCCGACAGCCTCTTCTGTCCTCTGAGAGCATTGTACGACACAGTGCACTTACCTACACGCAAGTGATACATGCATACACATAAAATAAAAATAATAAATTAAAAAAAAAGTATCTTGGGTCTTAGCTGTTTATGCAAAATAATAATGATTACTTTAGGTCTCATGATATATTCACTACCCAGCATTTGAGTTTGCTTCTTTAGGACATTGCTCTGCTGTAGTGATTGCCCTGTATATTTGGTAGGATATAAAAGGAGGAAGAGTACTGGAAAGGGTCACTTGGTTTTAACTGAATTGCTTCTAATTATTGGTAAGATTTAAGAACCAAAAGAGCTCTGTATTTAAGTAGGCAGTAGAAATTGGTATTTTTTAAAAAATTTGATGACTGTCAGAAGTTTTTATGACTTGATAAAATGCACTAAAAGCAGTCTTACGTTTTTCAGTATGGCTGGATTATAAATCTATAGTTCATTCATTTGGTAAGCAGTTATTAAATGATTCTAATATGATTCGATACTTCCTGAGTACTGGGGGCATTGTAATGAAAGAGGGCTTTGGCCCTCAGGAGCTCTCAGTTAATGAGAAAGACAATAAACATAAATACAAGACAGTGTAATAACTGTTATACAGAGGTAACCACAGGGTATTAAGAACGAAGAACTTAAAGACATTTATGATGTCATTATATAAATTTATTGTTTAAAAAGTAACATGCAAATTGTTTTCCAGGTGCTCCTGAAACAGGATAACACAACACAATTGGTGCAAGATGATCAAGTAAAGGGTCCTTTGAGAGTACGTATGTTGTGCTTTAGAGTCAGAAAAATGAGTCATAGACATATCCATAATTGACTGGACTTTACATTTGTACACACACTTACATTTTTATATGAATGTTAATCACAAATAAAAATACAAATTAGATGCTTATGTATTAGTGTAAATTATATTGTAACCATTGTGTATTTTAAAGAATATCAGACATCTATAGCATAACAATGTATGAATTCATTTATTTAGTTTAGATTTAGTTTCTTTTAGTTTGGTTTAAAATAAGGTCTTACAGCCCAGGCTGGCCTGAAACTGTGTATTGCAGACTGACCTTAAACTCTCAATCCTTCTGCCCTGCTTCCTGCAGGCTGGGATTATAGATGTGTACTACCATGCTTGCCTGACAGGATAGTGTAATATACTTAAAGCTGTTATGCTTTCCTCTTCACCCACCTTTTGTTTTGAATTCTTGGACTAAATATATTACTGTGTTTTGTTACATTGTTGCCATATCTGAGGTGATGCCTGCCTGATTGGTTATGCCATTGGTTAAGCTTGAGTTTTCTGTTCATCTGATTTATCAAACACATTCATTTCATAATTCAATTTAATGAATGCCTAGATTATGTTTTCCATCCATTTCTGACCATTTGTAGTACATTTTTGTTATGTCAGAGTACTACTTAGGTTAAAATCTGATACACGTGGAGGCTGGAGAGATGGCTCAGTGGTTAAGAACACTGGTGGTTCTTGCAGAAGACCCATGTTCGAATCCCAGCAGCCACATGGCAGCTAACAACTGTCTGTAACTCCAGTTCCAGGGGATCTAATGGCCTCTTCTGTCCTCCATGGGCATTGCACAACACAGGTGCACTTACCTACATGCAGGCAATACACTCATACACAGAAAATTTTGAGGGGGGGGGTTGCTTTTTGAGACAGGGTCTCCCTGTAGTCCCAGCTGTCCTGGAACTCACTATGTAGACAAGGCTGGCCTTGAATTCACAGAGATACGCCTGCCTTTGCCTCCCGAGGGCTGGGATTAAAGGTGTGCGCCACCATGCCCAGCTTGAAAATAATATTTAAAAAAAATAAAATACACAGAGATGTGGAAGCCATAGCCAGGCATGGTGGTGCATGCCCTTAATCCCAGCATTCTGGAGGCAGAGGTGGGTGGATCTCTGTGAGTTCAAGGCCAGTCTGGTCTACATAGTGAGTTCTAGGTCAGATGGGGCTACAAGGAAACTCTGTCTTCAAAAAAAAAAAAGATGTGGAAGCTGAAAGGTCAGTTGGTCCATTCCTCTCTCCAGGTGGACCTGTATCTATCCTTTAAAAACAAGTGCTCAATCTAATACTCAGTACTTCAGGGAAGAAAACAAAGGGTTTGGTTGTCCTGTGGTTTGACATTTGTTATATTTGACATTCTTGAATGTGATGCAATCTGGTGAGCAAACTCTAAAGTAAGATGTAAATTCTCATCACGGACTCTTCTCTGCAAGTTTTCTTTCCTTTCTGAGCCACCATTTTCAATTTTTAAAATACAAGTAATAACTCCTTTATGTATGCTAAAGTGCATTGAGACTCAAATTACATTATGGAGCTATGAACATTATAACTGAAAAATATCTAAGCAAGAATAGGGAAGAAGTTTTCTTATCAAAATTTTTCTTACCCAGATCATATAGTTGGTGGGAATGATTTGGTCTGTTTGTTTAAATCCAGTAAGGAAATCTGGGTTTCATGTTTTAGGTCGGAGCTATTGTTGAAACAAGGACATCTGATGGATCCTTTCAGGAAGCTATTATCAGCAAGTTGACAGATGCTAGTTGGTATACTGTGGGTAAGTAGTTCAGTAACAACACATAGCTTTGATTGGAGGATGCGTACACCTCTATCCTGTGAAAACACTGGAGCATTGTGTTGGCAATGAACATACAGCCTTTCTTGTCAGTTTAGTCAGTGATGCTTTGCTGGTAGCAAAAGCAGTTACTATTTAGACTAATGTGGTCATTTATGTCTATTTCATCTACGATTGTACTTCTCCTTTAGGTTATTAGGACATTTCTCTAAAGAAAGTTAAATATATGATTTTTTTTCTTTCATGAGAAAAATCAATAAAGCAGTATGATGAATAGTCAGGCATTTTCACTTTTTCTGTCATTGCAATTAATATTGCACAGGTGCAGCTACTTACTACATACATATAAGGATATTGTAGATTTTTCAGCAGACCTTATAGACTGAAAACGTTCTGCCCAGAGTAGATTCAAGCCTAAGTACAATGGCCTGTGTGAAGACCATACAGTGTGGATTCTCCTGTTAACAGCCTTCAAGAGTGATATGTTAATGTTACTGTGAATGCAATCTCAGCAGGCAATGTGTATATTTACACTGGCTTGAAAAAAACTAGTGAGCTGTAATCCTATGACTCAAGACAGAGGCAAGGAGATCTGGAGTTGAAGGTAGTCCTTGGCTACATAGTGAATTTGAAGCCTACCTGGGGTACATGAGACCTTGTCTCAAAAACAAAAACAAAAAACTTTTGAGTGAGAAGCAACTGATGTCACAAGATGTGTAAATTAAAACTTAAAAGCAGTGCTAAAGTCGTTGTCAACATTATAGTGACGAGACCAGCAGCAAGTAAGCATCTGTTCCTCAGTGCTCTCTGACGACGCACTCCTGTGGGCTGCACCCCAGACTGTTTTATACCGGACACCTATAACCTTGTTGGTTCTCACATTTATGTCTTGGTATACGTGATGTAATTATAGTGTTTGTGGTTTCCTTGTTAAAGAAAAAGAAATGACGTGAGAGTTACTCAGTGTACTTGATTTAGTGGTTTGGGTAAAAATCATTTCCAGTTTACGTTCAAAGCTGTGAAGAACATGCTTTGTTAGAAATTGAACTTACTGTGGTTTGCTTTGTGTTTTTTATTAATAATTTGCTCTTTCCAGGTACTTTATTCTAAAGTTTTAATTTTCCTTTGTACTCTCAGAAATTTTTGTTCATGAAGTACCATTATGCTGAGCTGTGTGTTTTTATTGAGCTTAGTTGTTGCTTTTGATAGTTTAAAAGATTTTTAAGCAGCTGGAGAGATAGCCCAGTGGCTAAAAGCACTGACTTCTCTAGCAGAGGGTCTAGGTTCGAATTCCAGTGCCCACATTGTGGCTAACAACTGTCTGTAACTCTAGTTCTAGGGGATCCAATGCCCTCTTCTGACCTCTGTGGGCAGTGCACTACAGATACACTTACATGCAAGCAACACACTTATATATATAAAATAGTAAAATATATTTTAAAAAGATTTAAAAACTAGGGTTAATATTAACTCTGAGATGAAAAAGATGTTATTTTCTGTATTAAACAAGGTGCTGATAAAGGTTACAGGAGTTGGTATATGCAGAATCATGTGAGATTATGTGATGCATATTCAAATACTAATATGGCCTGTATGGTTCTCACTACCAAGGCTGCCCTCATGTTGAATATCAGCTGGTTTACCTATGCTCTGCAGAGGCAATGCTGTTCATATGTCCACATTTTCTGTTTTGTGCATTCCAGAGAAACCATCCACTTACGAGTCTCTTAATCATTTCTAAAAATTATTTTTATTTTTTTTTAATTTATTTATTTTTGGTCTTTTTGAGACAGGGTCTCCCTGTAGCTCCATCTATCCTGGAACTCACTATGTAGACCAGGCTGGCCTTGAACTCACAGGAGATACGCCTGCCTCTGCCTCCCAAGTGCTGGGATTAAAGGCATGCGCCACCACGCCTGGCGGGTTATTATTTTTATTTTTATGTGTATGAGTGTATTGTCTGCATGTATGTGAGTACACCCGTGTCATGCAATGCCCGCAAGGACAGAAGAGGCCGTCAGATCCCCTGGAACTGAAGAGTTGTTAGCTGCCATGTGGGTGCTGGGATTCGAACCCGGGTCTTCTGCAAGAACAACCAGTGTTAACCTCTGAGCCATTTCTCCGGCCCCTATTGAGCATTCTTTATACTGCTCTTCTGTACTGTATAATTACAGAAAAAAGTATATGATTTATTCTAAGATTCAAACTGCTTAGAATCTAACTTGCATATAATTGGGATATCAAGCATTAGAATGTGTTTTTTATTTTTAATTTGAAGACCCCAAACCTATTATATTGAGTAGGTCAGAAGATGGCAATGCAAGCTTTCTTTTTATAAATACAATAAATGATTCTGATGTAGATAATACGTCTGAATAAACAGGCCATGTGGACTAGTGAGATGGTTCAGCGGGCAAGATTGTTCAGTGCAAGCCTGACTGAGTTCAGTTGATCGCCAAAACTCAGTGGGAGAAGAAAACCCACCCCCAAAAGTCCTCATACCCACATGTGTGCTGTGGCAAGTACCTGCATTTACACTACACGTACACATCACACACAAACACAAATAAAAGTAGTAAATTACAAAGAAAAGAGAAACTGACCATGCAAGGAGAAAAACTTATTTGGGAGGAAATTGGAAGATATTTGAGATGACTGGGTTATAGTTCACTGGTAGAATGATTGTCTAACATGTACAAGGCGATGACTTTCATCCTCAGCACCATGAAAACAATGAAAATAAAATATTTAAGAGTTTTGCGCTTATGTGCATAAATGACATTGCACTATAAACATTTAAGATTTTGAGAGGCGTTGTTCTTCATTGCACTCAAAATACCACCCTACTGTAAAGAAGGTATTATAGGAATGTCAGCCGTGTAAAGTCTGATCACACAATAATGAGTATAATTACAATTAGTAGCTGGTTTAAAAAGATGGCAGGAAAAAATGAAGTGTTTGATTTCTCACAGCTCACACACTTCGTGTTTTTTTTGTTGTTGTTGTTGTTTTTTTTTTTTTTTTTTTAATTGAGCACTTAACCACCTATTGGGTTTTAAGACTCTTTTCTGGAAATTCTCTTCATTTTTATTTCCAGCAGAGTTTAGTAGATTCAAAGATTATAGAAAGTATGAATGGTCTCTGACTTTTTTGATATCATAAGATCTCTGAAGTTATATAACATGACTACAATTGAAACAAAAGGGTACCACCTCTGATTCAAATAGTAGTGACCATCAGTAGATATGAGACATTACCATTGTGGTCAGTGAAGTTAAATCCTTGCTGTAGTATAGGTAGTTCTCCTGTTACAGCTGATTCGCAAGTTTGAAGGAGATTATGGGGCTGGATGTGGCTCAGTGGTAGAATAGATGCTTAACATATGCAAGGCCCTAGGTAGATCTCTAATACTACCTTTCTGCCAGGAAAAAAAAATGTATGTTTTTTGGTCTTTTTGAAACAGGGTCTCCCTGTAGCTCCCAGCTGGCCTGGAACTCACTGTGTAGACCAGGCTGGCCTGGAACTCACAGAGATTCGCCTGCCTCTGCCTCCCAAGTGCTGGGACTACAGACTTGTGCCACCACACCCAGATTACTTATTTTTTTAAATCTAGTAACACCTTGCCTCCTGATTTTAAACAGTACATGATTTCAGCTCATTGGATTTCTTTTTTATTTTCTTTTATTTGCTTTTGAGACGGGGTCTCCCTAATTAGCCCTAGCTGACCTGGAACTCACTACACAGACCATCCTAGGCTAGTCCCTATCTCTCAGTGGTCTGCCTACCTCGACCTCCTGAGTACTGGGATTAAATTAGAGGCATGTACTGCCATGCTGGGCCTTGTTTTACTTTTTAAAAACAAAGTCTCATTGTGTAGGCCTGCCTTGCCTCAAACTAAAAATCCCTGTACCTCAGCATCCTTAGTAGCAGTCTTGGGGTGTTTTTGTTTATTTCTCAGAGAAGCATAGAGATGTTTCTCACAAGGCATTGATGGCCCATGCCAATAATCCCAGTATTTGGGAAGCTCTGGTAGATATAGTCCCTTGAGTTTGAAGCTAGCCAGGCTAAATATTGAGAAACTGTCTTAAAAACAAACATAAAGAAAAGCTTTCTTCTTTAAAGAACAGAGCCTCCCTAGCCAGGTGTGATGGTGTACAACTATAATCCCAGCACCCAGGAGACAGAGGCAGGTCTCTGAGATCAAGGCCAGCCTGGTGTACATAGCAAGTTCCAGGCCAACTGGAGCTACAGGGAGATCCTGTCTCAAAAAAAAAAAAATAGCAATAACAAGAAAATAACAACAGTGCTTCCTGTCATAGTGTACTGATTTGACAGTTCAGATGTTTGCATGAAAGACAAGAACGTTGGGGCCTGGAAAGTTGGCTCAACAGTTAAGAGCACTGGTTGATCTTGCAGAGGAAGTGGGTTCAAATCCCAGCACCCACATGGCAGCTAACAACAGTCTGTAAGTCCAGTCCCAAGGAATCTGATGTCCTCTTACATGATACAGGTGCACCTACATAAATGCAAGCAATACACTCATACATATAAAATAAAAAACAATAAAATACTTTTAAAAAGACAAGAAGTCTGAAGCATGGGTGAGGCCTGTGAGTTCTGTGCCTGCCTACCTGCTAAAACGAAAACAAAAACAAAAAGCTAAATGGCTGAGGCAGGAAGTTCCTCTGAACCCAGGAATTCCATACCAGGCTGAGAAATAAAGGAAGACCTCAACTCAAAAGAGAAAAAAACCAGACAGACAGACAGATGGGGGCTCTTACCTGTCACAACATATTAGCATTCATACTTCCATGTATGTGTTGCCATTAACTCCTAAGAATAATTGCCAAGATACTTTGAAGGCAATGTAAGGAAAATGTAAGAAAGAAAACACTAATCTACATATTAAATATATAGACACATATCAAATTTAGCACTAAAATCTGTTCTTTCAAGTTATTTTCTTTTGGTTAAAAGTTTAT